CTCTAACCTCCTGGGAGAAGCCAACGACCTCCCTCTTTCTCGTCTCCCTCTTGGGCTCGCCTCTCTTGTTTTCCTGTTATTGAGCATGCGTGTACCCATTGGTCATTGTGAATGTGTAGGTGAAGGTGTGAGCGGGACCTCGATTGAGAGAGAGAGAGAGAGAGAGAGAGAGAGAGAGAGAGAGAGAGAGAGAGAGAGAGAGAGAGAGAGAGAGAGAGAGAGAGAACGACCGACTGACGAACGAAACGAACGAAATGAACGAAACAAACGACTGACTGACGGTCTGACGTCCGGATGTCTGGACTGACTGAGCGACCGCTCGACAGACCAATAGACCGATGGATGGACCGACCGATGGGCCGATGGATCGACGGACAGACATGCAGATTGAAGGAGCATTCACAAGACACATACGAGTTCAGATTGTGAGGCAGGCCTGCACCAGCTGTAATGCATCCATTGCTGTACTGTACGAGGCAGTACAAATCCAGTGTATAGAAAGCTCAAATTTAGGTTTACATGGCAAGTGGAATTATTTCTATTTGATTACAGTTGTAAAAGACTGGAAATAATCAGCCACAGAGTCTGTGTGTGTGTGGGTCTTTGTGCGCGTCAAACTTCCGCGACCGTGCCACGGCATGCTGCGTCGAAAGGTATGGGTATAAACAACACATGAAAAGTGCCCACAGTCTGGTACGCCTGTGAGATGAACGCACAGGAAAGTCACTGGGCAACAAGGCACAGTCATGCAAACTTGCAGGCCAGAAAAGCAAGGGAAGACTACAAAGCAACAACTTGAAGGCACTGGGCAAGCAGCAGTGGGAAGCAAGGAACAAAGGTTGGAGGGCATGGGGGAGGTGGGCGGGCAAACAAACAACACAAAGCGACAAGGCACGAAAGACAGTGAAGGAAAAGACATAGGTTGGAGAGCATGGGGGAGGGGGGTGGGCAGACAAACAAACACAAGGCAGTGAACCAAAAATAGCAAGACAAAAGAACAACAGGCAAAAAAGATACAAGTTCCAAAAATGAAAAACCGAAAAAAAAGAGAACTGACGATAACAACATTGTTTCGTCGGAGTTGCACCGACTCATCAGGAGGCCGGACTCTGGACACTCTGCAGAACCTCCGTCATGGTATTTGATGGTT